GGAGATAGTGGTCTTTATAATTAGGAGTAAAATTTCAGGACCAATACGTGGATACCGCATCTAGACTATAATCCTTCAATTGTTTCGTGTTGTAATACCTGGCCAACAGTAGGTTTTTTTATGAAGTTAAGTTATAAGTGTACATATTCTCAGTATCCGTCTTTCGCATAAACTGATACATATGTTATATGTATCATATAGTGCGAATGTAATTGTTATTTTCTTTGCTCTAAAAGATACTCCTTTAAAATAGATAGCATACAGTTGTCAGCGAATAAAAATATGTAACGCATTTTAGATAAACTTTTTTTAATTTGTAAATACTTTAAAGATTAGTAAGCCAAAATTGAAAACTGCGTTTTTGAGTTTTTTTCGTAGTAACCAAAAATTAAATAAAGATACTGATGCAGCGATTTATGGAACTGATTTAGAAATAAAAATTATGTAGGGTTCCTAGTGAATAATTTATTCAATTTTGTAATCTTTCTGAACTCTCAAATCCCGTCGTATTCCTGCCAAGGTGTAAATTTAAGTTAAATGAATTGAACGGGGATCTCTGTTATTCAGAGCGTGTTTTGTTTTAGCACGTTTTTTGCTTATAGTGCTAGTACGCTGGGCCATTCGGATAATTTTAGCCTTTGGTTTGTTGAGTCAACTCGTAGCCGTAACTTAACGTGCTAGTCCAGCACTATTCTATTTAGTGTTGTTATAACGTTTGAAGTACGTGCCTTTCTGTTCTGAGTTGAATTAATAAGGGATTATTTTCACTCTTCTTCTGGGCTGGTATTTAATTCACGCCTGTGCGAGAATTTGATAGGTTCGTTTGTAGGCTCTAGTTTAGTTTATGTGGCCTAAAATGGCTAGATCTTATCAGTGGCGCCCAAATTTTTCCGAGCTCACGTATGATAACGACGTTACAGTTAAGCTAGCCTCATCGATTTCGCGAACTCCACCGGCTCTTGGTGCTATAAATGAAAGGTTTTAGACATCGTTGAAATAATACTGGCCTTCATGAAACCCGCAGTGACATTCGACAGAAGAACATCGGTCACCAGGTTTCTAGAAAATTTGGACAACCATTTTCTATTGTATTCCGTCCTTGAAGTTTGAGCGATAACAATAGTGAAGAACGTCTTACAAGGAAAGGAATTAAGTTGGTTTAACGCGCACCCACACCCTCAACAACACCCCCCCCCGGCTCACCCCACACACTCCCCCCCACCCCACACCACCCCCACCACCCCCCCGCCCAAACCCTCCCCCCCCCCCACCCACGCCCCCCCAACACCCCACCCCCCCACCCCCCGCAACCCCCCCCCCCACCCCCACCACACCCACCACCCACATCAACCCCTCCCCACCCCCACGCCCCCCAGACACACACCCCGCCCCCCCCCCCCACGAACGAAACCCCCGCCCCAGGAACCCCACACTCCAAAACACCAGCGCACTACCCCCACCACCACACCCCCCACCAACCACACCCCGGCCCACCCCCAGCACCAAGCCCCCTCACAGGCCCTCCACCCGACCCCCACACCCCACACAACACCCATACCCCCCCACCCAGCCCCCACCCCCCCCCCCCACGACCCTCCACCCCCCCCCCCCCACCCACCCGCCCACCCCTCCCCCCCGCACACCCCGCACACCCACCCCTACACACCCCCCCCCCGCCAACCACCCCCCCCACTCCCCGGCCCATCCCCCCCCCCAACCAATGCCCACCCCCATACCACGCGCGCACCAACCCCACCCCCCCCTCCCCCCACCCCCACCCCCCCGACCCCCCCACCACACCCCGCACCCCGCAGTCACTGCCCCCGCACCCCCTACCCCCCCTCCACCCCCCACCACCCCACCCCCACCACGCCACCCCACACCCCCTACTACCCAAGCCAACCCCCCCACCCCACAACCCGACCCCCCGCCCAAAAAAACCGCCCCCACCCTCACACGCTAGACGACCACCTCCGCCCCACCACCCCCCCCCCACCCCCCCCGCCTCCCCGGCCCGACCCGCACTACCCCCCCCCCCCGCCCACAGCCACCACCCCTACCCCAAGCCCCGGAAACACACCCTCACACCCCAAGCCCCCCACCAGAGCCCACAACCACACCACCCCCCCCCACCACACCCCCCCCCCCCCCCCCGCACACCCCCCCCCCCTCCTTCCCCCCCCCCCACCCACCCGCCACCCCTCACACGCCCGACCGGACCCCGACCCCACACACCTCCCCCCCCCCACCACAGCTTCCCCCGACCACCACCCACCGCCCCCATACGCCCCCGCCACCCCCCCCCACACTCCCCCCCAATCACCCACCATGCACCAGACACCACCCAGCCAACCGACCCCGACCACCCCTCCCCACCGCCACAACCCCACCCCCCCCCGAAAAGCCCCCAACACCACGCCATACCCCTACCACCCCTCCCCCACCCCCCCAAACCCCACCCCCCCCACACCGCCCCACCCCACCCCCCGCACCCACCACCCCCCCGACCCGCCCCACCGCCACCACCACCCCCCAACCCACGCACACAACCGCCGCCCACACCCCCGCCACACCCCCACTCCCCCATCACGCCAACCGGACCCCCCTCGCACCACCCTCCACACGGCTCACCCCCCAAACCCCCCAGCCCCCCACCGACAACCCCCACCCCCCCCCACCCGCAGGAACCCCCCCACGCCACCCCCCCCGCCCCCCCCCCCCCCCTCCCCCACCCCCCCCCACCAAAGACCACCCCGCACACACCACACCCCCCATGACACACCAACAACGGCCCCCCCCCCCCCGGAACCCCCAACCCCACCCCCCCCCGCCCTCCCCCCCCCCCAAACCACCCCCCCTCGGCCCCCCTCCACCCCCCCCCCCACCCCCCGCCCCCCCCCTGCCCACCCCCCCCCCGAGCGCCCCCCACCCACCCACCTACCTACCACCCCCACCACCACCCCCCCCCCCCGCTATCACCCCCAGCCCCCCCCCCCCCCCTGCAACCCACCCCCCCGCACCCCCACCCCCCCCAACCGCTAAACTCCCTACCCCACCCCCCCCCCCCCCAACACCCCACCACACCCTCCCCCCCCCCCCCACCACCCGTCCCCCACCCCCACACCCCGCGCCCCTGCCCCCCTCCGCCCCCTCACCCCGCAACCAACCCCCCCACCACCCACCACCCCCCCAACCCCCTCCCCCCTCCCTCCCGCAACCCCCACCCCACGCCCCCCCGCACGCCCCCCCCCACCCACGCACACCAAACCCCGAAGCCCCCTCCACCAACACAACGCCCCCACCCCACAGCGACCGCCCCCACACAGACCCCATGACCCAGCCCCGCCGCCTAACCCCAGCCCCCCACCCACGCCGCCCCCCACCCACCCACCACTCACGACCCCCAACACCAGCGACCCCCCCCCACCCCACCCCCCAGCCCCCCACCCCCCCGCCCACCCGCGCACACCCCCGACACCCTCACCACCCACCACCCCCCCACCCTCCCCCCCCCACCACCCACAACCCCCCCAAGCACAGAGCGACAAACCCCAACTACCCCCCCCGCCCCCACCCCCACCCCCCCCACCTAACCCACACGCACAAACAAGACCGCCACCCCCAAACCGAACCCGCCCCACGCCCACCCCCACCCTCCCCCACCCCCAGCGACACCCAACGCCCCCCCCACACCCCCCCCGCCCCCCCTCCCAACCAGCTCCGCACACCCACCCCCACCGCCCCAGCCCCAACCCCCCCCCAACCCTCTACCCCCCACCCCAGCTCACCCCCCCCCCCCCAGACCCCCACACGATCCCTCGCGTACACACCCCCGAACCCGACCACCCGCCACCCCCCCCCGCCCGGCTCCCCCCCACACCCGGCGCGAAACCCCACCCCCCCCCCCACACACCCCGCCCACCCCCCACCACCCAGACCCCCACGCCCCACCGTACCGACCGGCAGACCGCGCCCCCCCCGCTCCCCCCCCCCAGCCCGCCCCCCACGAACCGCCCATCACGCATTCCGAACAACCTCACCAACCACCCGCCCACCCAACCCCCACCACCCCCCCCAATCTCCCCCCCCCCACCCCCCACAACCCCGGCAAGCCTGCCCCCACCACCCGACCCCCCCCCCCCACCGAAAGACCACACCAATCGCCCCACCCCAACACCCCCACACCCACAACCTCCCCCTCCCCCATCCACACCAGCTCCTCCACCCCCCCCTACCCCCCCCGCCCCCCCACACCCCCCCCCCACGCCACCCCCCCCCCCCCCACCCCTACCCACAAGACACCCAGCCCCCACCCCCCCCCCCCACCACCCACCATCCCCCCTCCCCAGGCAAAACACCCTACAACTCCCCCCCAAAGCCCAGACCCACACCTAGGATCATCCCACACCCCCGCCCCCGCACCCCCCCGGCGGCCCCCCGCCCACCCACACGCCCCCCTCCCAGGCACCCCCCGCAACCCCCCCCACCCACCGACCCCCCACACACCCGACCCCCACCACCCTCTCCCCCACCCACACCCACCCCCCCCCTCCACCCCACCCCCACCCCCACAACAACCACGCCCACTCACCACCGACCACCAGCCCTCACAACCACCCCCCACCAACCACCAAACCAGAGCCCCGAAACCCCCCCGACCGCCCCCCACCCACCCACCCCCACACCCCAGCAACCTCCCCGGCCAACCCACACCCCCAACAAGCGCCCCCCACCCCCCACCCAACCACCCAAACCCCCCCCACCCACGACCTGGCCCCACCCACAACCACCCCCCCCCCCCACCCCCTCCACACCCACCCTACCCCCCCCCCCACCCCCCCCGTCCAGCCCCACGCTCCCCCCCCCACATACCACAATCCAACCCCCACCCCATACCCGCCGGATTAACCCTCCCCCCCCCACCCCACACCCCCCCCGCCAACCCCCCCCCCGAACGCCCGACACACACACAACGCCCCCCCGCCGACCCCCCCCCCCACCACCCACCACCCAAACCCCCCACCCCCCCGCCCACTCAGCCCCGTCGCCCGCCCCCCCACCCCACCCACACTACGCGCCAACCACCCCCCAGCCCGCCCGCCCCCCCGACCTCCCCCCCTAAACCCCGCACCCCCCCCCGTCGCCAGCCCCCCACCAACCCCCCACCCCCCCCACCCAACCCCCCCAAACGCACACTCCCCGCCCCCCCCACACCCACCCACCCAGATACGCACCCCCCACCAACCCCCCCCCCCTCGCCCCCACCCTCCCAGCCGCCAACCCCCCCCCCACACACCACCACCCACCCCCCGCACGCAGTAACCAATCCCCCCTCACCAGTCCCCCCCCACTCCCCGCCCACCCCCCCACGATCCCGACGGTCCACCCCAGCCACCCCAAGAATAAAACACCCCCACCCACTCTCGACCACCCCGCAGCCACCACGCACCCCCCCAAAGCCCCCACCCTCCCCACACCCCGGCACCCCCCCACCCCACCCCCCCCCCCCCCCGCCCACCCCCCGCCCCCGACGCAACCCCCCCCCCCCCTGGCCCCCGCTCCCCCACCCAGACCCCCGTCTCCGACACTACGCCCCCCACCCACCAAACCCCCACCAGTCCCCCCCCCCTACCCCCCCCCTCCACCCCCCCGCCCCACACTCCCCACACCACCCACTCACCCACCACCCACCAACCGCCAACACCCAACCCCCGCCCCCCACCACCAGCCACCCCCCCCCCAACACCACCCCCCCCAAATTCCCATACCTCCCACCCACCCCCAACAAACCACCCCACACCCCCCGCCATCCCGCACCAACCACACCCCCCCGCCCCCCCCCCACCCCTCCCCAACCCAGCATACCCCCCACCAACCACCACCCCCGAATCCTCCCCACCCCCAACCCACCCCCCCCCCACCCCCCCACACCTCACGCCCGACCCCCCCAAATAACCCCAGCCCACCCACACTCCACACCACTCCCCCCCGCACCAAACCCCCCACACCCCCCCCCCCACGCCCCCACCACCCAGACTCCCCCACCCACCCCCCCCACGAACCCGCCCGCACCCCCTCCCCACACCCACCTCGCACCTCTGCCCCCCCCCCAACCCACCCCACCCCCAACCAGCACTACATCCCTAGAACCCCCCACACCGCCCCCCCCCCCCGACGCCCCGCCACAACAACCCCCAGAGCACCCGACCCCCCTCCCCTCCCACCACCCCACCCCCACATCCCTCCCACCCCGGCCCTACCCCCAACCCCCCCCACCCCCCTCCCTCCCCACCCAAAACCACCCCCCCCAACCCCCCCCCCCCCCCCCCCCCCCCCCCCCCCCCCCCCCCCCACCCCCCCCACACACCCCCCCCCTTTTTTCCCCCCCCTCCTTAACACCCCCTGCCTCCCACCTCCCAACCAACCACCCCCCCCCCCCCCGCGATCTTCCACCCCAGGACCAGTCCGCCCGTCCCCCCGTTTTGCCACCCCCTGCGCCCCCCCCCCTTTCCCCCCCCCCCCCCCCCCCCCCAACTCCCCCCCCCCCCCAAACCCGCCACCCCACCCCCACCCGCCCCCCACACCACCCCGCCCCCCCCCAACCAACTCACTCCCCCACCTCCCACCGCACACACCACCCCCCCACCCTCCCCAGCCCCCCCCACCTCCCCCCCCACCACCACACACCCCCCCCCCCCCCACCAAACCCACATCCCCACCTCCCCCCCCAACACCCCTCCCCCCAGGCGCGCCCCACCCCCCCCCCGCACCCACCCCCCAACGCCCCAAACCACCCACCCCCAAAACCCAAACACAATACGCCCGCACTCCACCCCACCCACGCAAAGCCCCCCCCCCCGCCCCCCCCCCCCCGCCCTACCCCCCCCCCCCCCCCCACCCCGCCACCCCCCACCCCGCACTCCAACCACTCACCACTCACCCCCCCCCCCCCCCCCCGCCCCCCCCAGCTCACCCCCCGCCCAACACACCCCCCCCACCCCGCACCCACAAAAGCCCCCCACCCCCACCCCCCCGCAGTCGGGCACACACCCTCACCCTACCCACCCACCACCCCACCGCCCACCCCCCACAGCAACTCCCCCCACCCACACCCCCCCCACGCCACCCCGCTCCACCCCGCCCGACACGCAAACCCGCCCGACCGCCTCCACGCCAACCAGCACCCCCCCTCCCGCGCAACCACCCCCCCCCCTCCGCCCTCCCCCACCCGCCAACCCCCCCGCACCCAACCGCCCCCACTCCCTCCCCCAAACCCACCCCCGCCCTCCCCCCCCTCGACACCACCCTGCTTACTAACCCACACCCCCCCCCCCCCCCCACCGCCACCCACCCCCCCGCCCCCCCCCCCACCCCCCCCCCCCCCCCGCCCCCCACCCCCACTCCCCCCCCCACCCCCCCCCCCCCCCACCCGCGCCGACCCCCCCCCCCCGGCCCCTGCACCACCCCCCCCCCTCCCCCCCCGCCAACCCACCCGCCCCCTGACACCCACACCACACAATAACCCCACACCCACCCACAGAACCCCCCCATCACCCCGGACCCTCACCCCCCACCACCAACACTTACCCGCCTCCCCAACCCGTGACACGTCACACGCACCACGATCCCCCACCCGACCCCAACGGAGCCCCCCACCCCCACGAATCCCCCATCCCTCCACCCCAGCCCCCCCCCCAGCTCCCCCGCCCCGCCCCCATCCACCCCACGCCCCCGCCACCCCCCCACCCCCCCCCCCTGCAACTAACCCCAACCCCCCCACCCCCCCCGCCCCGCCCCCACACACACATCGCAAACCTAGCCGCCAACCCCCCCCCCCAACCTCCCCCCCCCCCAACCCCCCCCACGCCCCCCTAACCCCCCCACCCCCACCCCCCCCACGACACGCCCCCACCCCGCGCACTCCGCGAGCCCCCCCCCCACCCCTCTCGCCCCACCCACCCCCAAACCGACAACCAAACCATAGGATCACTTCCCCCAACCCCCACAACCCACATACCCCCTTATAGCCACCTCCGATTTCCCCCCCCCCCCCCAACCCACCCCGCACCCCCCCCCCCCTCTTTCCCCTTTCCTCTTGGGGGAAATAGGCAGCCCCCACATATACGCTTGAAACTTTTAAAGCTGCTGTGCTCCCGTGGTCAAAGATAGAGCTAAACTTGAAGCCGAAATGTACGGCAAGTAGCAATTTCAAAATGGAGTACTGTCGGAATTTATTTTACCCAAGGTCCAAGTTACTAATTTGTTATATGGGAAAAAGCCCGATACGGAGATAATTCGGATTATTTTGCCTCGACTACTGCCGCAAATTCGGGATTATATCGAAGTGAGAAACCCCCCAGCGTTAGAACAACTGTTTGAACTAGCGATGAAATTTGAGGGTAGGGAGGGTTGCAGAAAATACGCGTACGAGAAGTTTTGGCCAGAGATAAAACGCACAGTTTTATAGGCCGTATTCAGAACAATCAGGGAGATTCAATATCGGGAATAAATTTCAAGATAAAAATAAAGGCGACTGCCATAACAGGCCGCAGGATTCTAAAAAGGGGCAGTTAACAAGGAGTTACGCTAGGACCAGTGGCGGAAAGGAGGGTACAGTTAGACCATTCGGACAAAAATCCCTCGAAAATACAATTTAACACGATAATAATAAAAAAATTGTACCTACTTGTTATACAGATTCGAATAAATAAGGTACCAACAGAAGCCTTAGTGGACACTCCGGCGCAAGCAAATTTTATTTCGGAGAACTTTAGGAAAAAATGCAGGTTATTTAATGTTGAAAATACAAAAGTTATTGCAGCGCAGGGCAAACATTGTGCATGTATAGGTAAAGCGACGTATAATTCGTAGATAAAGAACGAGATGCAAAAATCTATATTTTTTGCTGTGCGAAATTTAGAAGCTTCAGTAACTTTAGGTACCGACTTTTTAAAGACAGCGGTAGCCCAAATTAATTTTCAGGGAGAAACGCTGCAACAGCATATAGATGCAATGGCCATAGAAATTGAGAAACCGCTGGAAGTAAATATTGCACATGTGAAAACCGAAGACAGAAGAAATTTGCAAGAGCTGGTAAGAAAGTTTCTGATTTAATTTCTGAAACACCAGGCCTAACGCAGATTACCCACCATGAAATTAAGTTAAAACCAGTTCAAACAGATATGACAGAGTTCAGGAAAAGATAATAGAACAGTTTATTGAACACATGTTCAAAAATAAAATTATTTAACTCTTAAGTAGCCTATATGCCAGCCTAGTAGTGCTTTGCAGGGAAAAAATGATTTACTTCCTCAAACGTTAAAGCCTGGAGGTTAGCTATCGACTATAGAAAGTTAAATAGTTTAACTCCTACTAATAGTACTCCGTTTACGTTCAGCCTATCATTGAAGAAGTTATGCGGAACATCAGCTCAACTAAGTACATGACCATGATGTACATCACCTCAGGGTATATTCAGATAACGATGAAACCTGATGACATGTCAAAAACAGCATTCATCACGAAATCAGGCACTTATGCATTTCTTAGAATGCCTTTCGGCTTATGTGAGTCCAAGTTAATTTCCAACGAACTATGGACAATATATTAAGACTTGTCCTCGGTTAATCCACTTTTATTTATCTCGATCGCATTATTGTGTTGAGCGAAAATATTCAGGAAGACATAAAATGTCTAAACGAAGTTTTTACATTATTAGGAGACATAGGCTTAAAAAAATGTTAGGAAGCGTAAACTCGCAGCAGAAGGTTCGCCATAAGTTAAACTGTGAAGACGTTAGGTACACTTAACTGTAAATTATTTTTAACATATTCACCACGTTTTGATTTAAGCCAAAAGTGCTGGGTTTGGTAAGCCCCGAGTTGGTGCCATAGCTTTATTTTGAGTTAATAAAGCTTTCTTTCTTGATACACTTCTCCTGGCTTTGTAGTACTTTATAGTCTTCAACGTCGTATGCATTTTATGATAGTAAAGACAACACGATGTTACAAGTTAAGTAAGACCTTAAAGCTTTATCTGTTAATATTATTCTCAGTCAACATTCTACCTATTTTCCCGAATTTAAGGACCTAAAAGGGACCGAACAAATGAGGTGCCTGAACCTCTATAGTTCAATTGACATTAAATTATAGAAAACAGGCTCACTTCATATTCACTGAGTGACTTTTCCCACTTTTAACATGAATGCGAGCCAGTTTCGCTCAGAAAAACCCCCAACGAAAACACATCTTAGGCAGTTAGTGCTTGCGTGCTTTATCTTAATCAGCTAAAACGCAGAGTATAAGTGCACGGAGAAGTTTTAAAATGATTAAAACCGCCATTATTCTTGTCTCTGGATTGTCTCTTTCAAGGTCAAGTTAAGGAAATCATCGCAGCAAACAGGTTCTCAAGAGTGTCTCACTTAGCAGAAGATATGCTTCATATTTACCAGTAAAACTGAATTCACACCAATTTTGGATTTAAACAGAGCAGATTAAAGTGACTTTTAATTGAAAAAAATTAGAGTCATTACTATTGATTTATCTGGAAATCAGTAATGGCACCTCAGGAATAGTTTTATAAAAATGATTTAACTTCTTTAGGAATAGTATAAAAATTCGCTAGTAGTATAAAAATTCGCTGATTATTAGCAGGAAATGTTCCTTATCATTAAGAAAAGAAATTAACTGATTTGTATTAAAAAGAAGTGATTTAATTATTTACCATTCTTTTGAATAATATTGTGCATTATTATAAAAATTTTATTTATTTTATCGTTTATAATCTATTAAGAATACAGAAACATGTCTGAAATAAATTTCGGTAGATAGAGTCATCAGATCATTTTCAATATTATGGTAATATAATAATTTTATGGATTTTCTTGTCAAGATTTTGTAAGTTTATTTATAGTGGTCTTGCGATTTTGTCCTTACTTCGAATTAAATATGTCTTTCAAAACGTTTTCCTTTGCTTTAAACCTGGTTAAAGTAACTTTTGACACCGTTCTTAATTTCAAAATGTAATAGTTCGTACGAATAAGTCTCATAAAAGTTCCAAAGGAAACAAATCTTATCAAGATCATTTTTTCTTCGGAAAACTGTTTTAAAATTATGCACTAGAAATGTCGTTCGAATACAAAACTTCAAACCAAAGTCTTACTGTTATGCTCATTTAAGCTTCTTACCTGACAAAAAAAAAAAATGCTAACTTGTCGATTTCTTACAAGTTAAGCTCAAAATAATCACAAACTTCAGAATGGAATGATTACGTTAGCTTTGAACATGAACTTTTAGAATAATGATGCTCGGTTATTGAACTGAATGCAAATTATGGCTTGTCTGACGTCAAAAAACCCGTCTAAAGTCGTTTACCTTTGATAAATGATACTACATAATGCATTAAATTTGAGATGCTTTCATATTTTTCGCATTATTCGTTCACATAGCGAAATTTAAGTCTTTTTCCTTGAAAAAGTGTGTATTGATGCTGTATAGAAACTAGCAAACTGTAAAGCGAATTTTTTTAATGTGTTGCAACAAAACTATCAGGTTAAATTAAGATGAGTGTCTTGAAAATCTTTGAGAAGACGTATTGGTTAATCAAATTTTCCCCCTTTAACCTTTAAACTTTTAAATCCTTTTTAAAGAATGCATTCTAGTGACCATATTTAGTTACATTTTATTTGCTTTCTATCCTCTAAAAACATAAAATATCTCCGAAAGTATATTGTGTGTATTTTCTTTACGTAATGATGAGAATAAAATAAATATTAAACAAATCTTGTGACGAAGTAAATTTTTTTGGAAATATTTAAATTTATTTATAATCTCTTCCTTGATCTTGGAGGCAAATAAAATGCGTTAGCATGCAGTCGTGGTGGAACAATAGGGAAAAATCAGTTATTCGTCTTTAGTTTTAACCCGGGAGAGCGCGCGCTCTTTTGAGTTACACGAGTGCGCGCAAAAGACCCGGCTATGTTTTTTGAGGAAAAAACTGTTACTCTTCAGGTAAAAGTGTTACATAAACACCAAAATATTATGATAAAACTTTAAAAATATGCAAATTATAAAAATTAAAATTTTATTTTAATTTCTATTATATTTTTATAACATACTCTTATGAGCAACATTATATACGGCGTGTACTAATTTAATTTTAAAGAGGAAATATTTCCTCCTTTCATACAGTCATGCCTCACACCATGTATGCCTGCTCTATGAAACTATGTAATTGTAAATTCATTCTTTAAAGTTAGTTGAAAAAATGCGTCAAAAAGAAGAAAACTGATAATTACCCAAATTTATCAACTTAACTTTAAGATATCATCCGAAGCGTGCCTTGCCATACCATCAGCATGTTTGAGCGAAATATACAATCAACGTCTTTGAAACAACTTTAATTAATAATTTTAGATAAATTTACGATGTTCCATTTAATTAATTACGTTTAGAAACTAGTTGGTTAGACAAGACACATGTGTAGTTAACATTTTAAATTATGCTAATTAATTTTTATATAACGCATACACTTCACCGTAGAGTATCTAAAATTTATTATTTGTAACCTTATAATTAGCTTTACATTGACCATTGTACATTACGTGGAATATAAATTTAATTATGAATGTAAACTATATCCTTGCTATAAGGTTTTCTAAATAATAAAGTGATAAGAATCCTGTTCCCCCATCTTTTGATGCTGGAACATTTTACGCAAAAACTTTACAGATACTCGTTTATTAAGCGACATTATTTCTACTGATATCCGGATTAATCAATACAATTGCCCAAACGTAAAAAAGGAAATTTTGTACAATTTCATTCTTTTATTTTCTTTGAAATCAAAAATATATTTACATTCATTGGGCGCATACAAATATTATTTCCATAAAACAAAACTTTTAAAATGTTATATTTCCGAAAAACAAAATAAAAAAAGCACTTTTTCGAAAAACTTTTTTTTCAGTTCAAAAAATTTCTGTTTTAGATAAAGCAATTGAATTATAATTTTATATACGTAATTTCTGAATTTTATATCGCAATATTGTGTTTTTTGAGGATTAGGGAAAAAATATATTTTATTCATGTAAAATAAAGTACATCTTGCAGTTTATTCGAGGAAGATTAAGAGTGGTGGTGGTGGTGGTAGTAGATTTATGGTGCAAAGCTCAATAGGCCATATGCGCCAAACACAGGATTCTTTTTTAACATATAACTAGAAAAAAAAAATATAAGACAAAAACACAAACACTTTTAAATCGAGGCAAGTAAAACGATATTTAATGTGGAGAAATGCGATTAGGAGTTTGTAAGGAGATATGCGTATAGATATACCAGCCTCAAACTCTATCCATAAAATTCTAACTAAAATTCAACAAAAATCAAATTAAAATATAGAGACCTGTTTTTCTTTAAGTATGAAACAATTGGTCTTTACACCTCTTCCGATTAAACGGTCGAGAGGCAGGTCGCAGCAGTTAAAATACTTCACACGAAGACTATTAAAATACGGACACTCAATTAAAATGTGACGGACTGAGAGACAAACATCACAATTTGCACGAACAGCCTCGTTCTCAGCTTTCAGAAGGTAATTATGTGTCACTCTAGTGTGACCAATTCTAAGGCGAATCAAAAGAACGTCCTCCTTACGATTGCTAGTAGTATCTCAATGCTCTATTTTAGGTTTCATCCTTCTCAACTTGTTATGAAGCTGAATGTCCCAAAGTTGCAGCCATTTTTTTCTGATCTTCACTTTGATGACACAACAGATATCTCTAAAAGGGATGAGGTGGACGGACATTTCAACAGCATATTTCGCTGCGATGTCCGCCAGCTCATTGCCTTTTATTCCTGTATGTCCGGCGAGACCGCAGTACGAAGTTCAAATCCACCACATGTCATAATATTCAACGTGAGAACACCACTATCACAAGGATTTTTCAGTGCTAAAAGATTCAAAGCCTACACATGCACTGTAGGAGTCCGTATACACAATGATTTTCGATGGTGTCAGTTTTGAGATTTAAAAAAGGCGTAATGTATGGTCATCAGATTCGGAGGTTAAGACAGAGGACTTCTGGCCACAATGGAAGACAGAGGAAACCTCTTGCCTTCCATGTGGTCACAATTAAATGAACTGCCACATGGAAGCGGACTTAGATCCCATCCGTATTATGGGAACATAACTCCTTACTATGCCTGTTCTCAGCCAAAAATCTGTCTCTATCAGCACCAGCATCAGTTCACTCGGAAGGGCAGGGGCACCTGAGATCAAAATAACAGTGTCTACCAGGCGAATAACCGCTATCGCCTCGCCATCAACCACCTGCTACGAGAACCCCAACACCATTCTATCGTGACAGACAGTCAGTCATCTATCCAATCTATCAAAGCTTCTACACGCAACTTCACCAATAGCACAGGACATCCAGAAGACCATAAGGACAAGTAATAAGCATTTCATTCTCTCATGACAGAGGGCCATAATAAGTGCGAAGGCCAATGAAAGAGGGAGGACTTCCTTGCAAACCAGGCAGCACGTGATCAAGTCGGTGACGGTATAA